GATACTCCTCTTCACAGGTTAAACTGAGATCTCATTTGCCAGTTTCTGAAGCATTTAATGTGTGTCATGTTGATTTTGTCATCTTCCAGATATTTCATAAGACTTTTCTCATCTGGTTTCAAGTAAAGAAGTTTGAGTATTACATATCAACATTATTTCCTTTAATCAACCAAAATTACAGAAAATGTAATATGAAGCTAGTTTGATAGGATTATTTTCCATAAACACAAATGAACTCACATTAATTATGCTACTCTCTTTTAATTCTTTATTAATTCAGTTTTGTATTAGCTGATCCATTATTTTTCCAAGGATTTATGTCACACTGACAAGCTTATAATTACTTGGGTCATCTCTTTTATTCTTTTTAAATATTGGCAGGTTAACTTTCCTTTACTCTCCCAAAACTTCCCCTGTGTTGCAAGAGTTATTGAAAATCAACATTAATAGTCAGGCTCCTCAATCGTGCCTTTAAACCTGTCAGGTACAGGTTATCCAAACCTGCTCATTTAAAAATGTTTCATTTCCTGTTCCAAAGCAGAACAGAAATGGCTTCAAAGTTCCTGAAGCAAATACATCTCTTACTCCTCCAAATCAAGCCAGTAAGAACTGGGAACACTGAGAGTCCCCCATCCCTTGGAATAAGTCACAGAGGTCAATGACAAGAGTAATTTCTGACTGCAATTCAGAAGAGAAGCTGACAAGCGAATACTCTTTGACCTGTGAGCTGTTAAAACACAATTGTCTCTGTTCTAGCAGACGTAGGGAACCTTAGCAATGCCCACAGTGCCATACATCAAACCTAAGATCAGAAGCCAGAAGGTCTGAGCCCCTCCATGCCTAACAGCTACAGGCAGCTCCTCAAATATCCTCCCCTGTGTAAACCAGAGGTTCCAATCAAAAATCACCACAACAAAGCACAAAAACAGATGCACAACTATTTATTATTAGTTGATTATCTTTTTTATTGGAATCACAGTTAACAATAACTATGAAAAGGGAAGTAAATAAATTACTTGCTGATTTTTTTTTTCCTTTCTTCTGCACAATTGTTGGGTTTTGCCTCAGAGTGAAACTTTTTTATAAAGCAGTCAGCACACAAGGAGTTAGCATGATGTATAACTACAAGTAATTTTTAAAATAAGACTGATTATAATCTGTTTTTTTATGTTGTCTTTTTATGGAAATAATGTGAAAAAAAGTAATGCAGGCATATGTACAAATATTATGTTAGGAACCTAGAAAGACAGCTAGGGATGTTACATCCTATGAGGAAAGGCAGAAAGAGTTGGGGTTGTTCAGCCTGGAGAAGAGAAGGCTCTGGGGAGACTTTATTGCAGCCTTTCAATACTTAAAGGGGGCCTATAAAATGGGGACAAACTTTTTAGCAGGGCCTGTAGCAATTGGACAAGGGGTAATGGTTTTAAACTAAAAGAGGGTAGATTTAGACTAGATACAATCAATAAATCTTTTACAATGAGGGTAGTGAAACACTGGAACAGGTTGCCAGAGAGGTGGTAGAAGCCCCATCCCTGGAAAGACTCAAGGTCAGGCTGGGTGGGGCTCTGCAGGGGGGGATGAACTAGATGACCATTAAAGGTCCCTGCCAACCCAAACCATTAGATGAGTCTATGCCAAACTGGGCCAGTATAGCACTGAAAAACAAATATCCACATTTTAAGTTTATTTGTTGTAAGCTTAAACTTCTGAAACATGCAAGTATGCAGAAGCTTAAAAGAATTATGAAGTCAAAGGTAAAAAAAAAAAACAAAACAACAAAACAACCCAACTTTAAATAAATGTCTGATATAGTCTAATACTAAAACAGTCACATTTCTATATAGCATTTTCTCAGATACGTTCAAGTAGGAAAGCAGCTGAGACAAAATAGTGTCACTGAAAACAAGCTATAATATTAAAATATTGAATTGCTCTTGGCCAGAATAGCTAATGAGAGTTATAAATTTGAATTCTGTTCCTTTATGCTTAGTGCTTGGAAATGTGGAATGATCCAGCAACAATAAGAAATCTATATGAATTGAACACTGTATTTGATTCTTTGTGATTTAGCATTCTAAAACACTCAGGCAAAAGAAAGGCTGCATTAAGAGAACATCAAGTGACTCATATTCAGAAGACAGGAAATATTGTAGCTGAGATTGCTTTTATAATGTTAATTCAGCTCAGCAGTTTGAGTCCCTTTCCAAACAGCAGGTCATTTAATAAGATAATTATTTTTCAGAAGACCTCTGCCTCACTCAGATCTGGGAATGTCAATAGTTTGTGTTGAAGAAGATGCTAAATTTGAGATAGATAATCCTTCATTTCCTGTAGAAATTGAATTTGGTGCAGTGAATGAGGTGGCACTTGCAGAACAGCTGCTGGACTAAGGAATTTGAATATTTCCCAGAAGAATTCAAACTTTTTTTTCCCCATAAAATTTTGAGGTCATACTGGAATCTTTTAAACTTTTTTTTTTTTAATTTTCATTAAATCTGTTTTCCTCATTTTCTATACCCCATCTTAAATCCTCATGGTTTGGTGGTATTTTAAACTCTTATAGTTGTAATTTAACATTTCATAGACTATATAATGTCTTAAAGGAATTGCAGCTACTCACAGTCAGAGGTTGAGTTATAAGTTACTTGTTATTCATCTAAACTGAAGTCACTGTGATAATTTGTCCTTCTTTCCTTTTTTACTATTCTTGGAATTTAATTCCAGGAGACTATATGCACTCTGAAAGTATTTTATCCAATAAATTAGGCAAGGGTATATTGAAAGAACAGTTTATGATCTGATAATCAAAGGCCATTGTAAGGTGCCTCCACGGAGGGGGTAGATTAAGTTTGCATGGGCAGTTTTAATTCCGACCTGTTTTTACTGCTCTCATCTTTGCTGATTCTTTGGCAGTAATAATTGAAAAAGTGCATGGAGGGGGTGGGAGGGAGGTGCGTGCTTGTTTGTATACCATTTCCCTGGTTTTTGTTAACAGAAAAACTATCTACTTCGTATTACAAAAAATATACATAGATGTAATCTATTTAATAGTACACTTAATTGGGCCTCTTCAGTTCCCTAATTTGTTGAAACTGCTAAACCTCTAAATTCAAGACTTGTACAAGACTTGTATCATTAACAGACACATGCTCCAATTATCCAAACATATACTTACACATGCGTTCACTAGGTACTCAACATGTGGAATTCAAATGTATAAACAAGCTCCAGTAAATCTACTGACAGAAAATTATGTAGAAATTACACATCCAATTGAGCAACATCCCCTCGATTGCTTTTTCTAACCATGTGGTCTTCAATACAGTTTTACTGTCCCATGCATTTTTTTCTTCTTATGATTCATAGTTTTATTTACAGATTAAAACCTGGGTTTAAAAGGGTGACTTGATCGAGATCAGTGGAAAATCTGCGGCACTGCCAGGCACCACACCTGCATTTGCAAATCCCTGGTCAGTGCTTTAGTCACAGTAATATCATTCTTTCCTTTTAATACTCACTAGGATTCAGTTCTTAAAATATTACTCCTATAAAATTTTGTCTAGTGTTGTGATTTTTTAAATTTAAATGCCAAGATAAATGTTTTTCCAATAGCACTATTGAGCTGCCTTGCTTCCAGCAGGATCCAGTCTCCAGCTCAGCTGTACTCATTTCACTCCTCACTTGCATGGACTTTTTTTCTTACAGGATTTTAAAAGGCCTGATTTTTACTTCAAATTTTAATTCTGTGTACATCACCAGCTGTCAGAAAAGCCACTTTCTTCACGTACTTGTTTTCATTTGGGGGTTTGTTCCAGTGCAAAGTCAAATCCTCCTAAATGTTCAGTTGGTTCCTGGAATTACTGATGGGCACCCTATCCTTTGGATAGCTATGTATAAAGTCCTTACCTATCATTCTGACTTCCAAATTTTTGATATATCAGAGAATTTAATCTTCTTTTAATTATTTTTTTCATTCTACTGTGTTATAATGTAATGCTCTGTAGAACTATTTCTCTCACCAATACAACATCCAGCAACCCAGAACACCACGATGTGAGATGTTGGTCTGGAGCCATCTACTGGTTGTACCGTTGAGCTTTATATAGACGGATTCGGGGAAAAAAAACCAACCCACTTTACATGCATAATTCTATTGTAATTATAAAAGCAATAGCATATCTTAATAGATTAATCACCTAAGTATGTGATGTTTCTTGTGTCCTCTTTTTTACGTTTAAATACTCAGGGGACTTAATATGACTCAATTAACAAAATTTAAAAATCAAGAACCTATTTATGTTTACACAAACAAAACAAAAATGGAGGGAAGGGGGCCTAAAAAACCTCTTATTTCTCAATAACACCGAGAAGGAACTAAGGAACAAGGTAATATTAATGCTTACTAAGATTTAAAAAATTTACTAATCTAGATGTCTTCAGTTTTATTACTGTAACAGAGTAAAAATTATTATTGCTTTATTTTATGCTTAGCAAGATTTCACCCTGCATTTGTATGTGTTGCTCTAAAATAGCTAAGGCACATCATATATGGTTTTCTTGGGATTAAAAAAGGTCTCAGTCAATTTTATGACATCCTTCAAAGGTTTTTATTAAAAATAAATTCAGACGAAAAAGGTAGCAGATAAACAGAAGTATAAAGCCTTTTAAACCAGCTACTATGAACTAAAATTAATCCAGACAATTTAGTTTGGAAACCAAAAGTATGTTATATAATGACACTGGTAAGTATATATTTACTCATTTATTATATGATAATATTGATAAGTATTAGTGCTATAATTTAGTCTTATTTCTATTATTGCAGGTGTATATGCAACTTTAACTGTGTCTTCAGGAGCAAAAGGGAGCATTTTACAGATTTTACCAGTTTAAGAGAGATTCTTTGCACCTATTAAATATGTATACATATGCATCTACATATATGTATACACACAGACACACAAATATATATACATATTAACTCATGAAGTTAATGTCTATATACGTATATATGCATATACATGCATACATATATATGCATGTATATATATACATGTATGTACTATGCAATATATGTATATTCATCTATACATATACACACATGCATGCAGATGCATGCACACCCATATATCACATCTAACATCTAACTCATGCCTTCTACAATCTCAGTTAAAGTAAATCCTCTGTTGGCTGTTAGTTGTACTGGGATTAAACGCTTGCCATTATTCACATTTGCTCTCAGCAGATTCATCAGCAGGACAAACTTCCAACAGGAGCTGTAAGTGCCAAGTAATTTTATCAAGAAATGCAAAATGCAATTTAAAATGTATAAAAGGCAGATAAACAATAAGACTTCCCAGCATAAACAGGAAGGCATAAACGTATTGGAGATTTGGAGACCAGACTATAGGAGCTAAAACAAGAAAGAAAGACATTGCCACCATCACAAATGGAACTGGTAGAAACACCTGTAAGAGAAAGAAAAAAACTGGTTTAAGAAACTCACCAACTGTGATGTCTTGAACCATCCATAAAAATAATAATGCATTCTTTGGCACATGCGAGTAGCATTCTCATGTTGCTGCAATCTCACCCAGGATGAGATTAATCTGACCTTAAATTCCCTACAAGATAGGCAACTTTCCTAAAATACTTGTTCAGGCTCCTTCTATTGTCAAGGGAGAGGCCCTGAAAACTAGTCATCCACATATGATATTACAGCACCTAAAAGAAACTCAGGGTTGGGTGCCTACGAGAAGCCTCGACAATGAGCATACACTTCTAACTCATGTTTCTGAAGCTGGACTGAGATTAACTTAAACCTATCGTTAATGTCTGTGGCTGTTTCAGGAAAGATGAGAGTAGATTAAGGTTTAATTAATCATGAATGTCCACTTTGGATGCCACATTGTTCTGGTTACTGCTCCACACTGGCATGGTTTCCCGTTTCACATTGTTTGCACACCTCACCCATTCTGCATATGGTCCATCCCTTGTTTTCAAGTGCAAGCTCTCTAAGGCAGAAACCATCTGTTATTTTTGTTTTTTTTTCCTTTCCTTCTACAGTGTGAAGTAAAGTTGTTGAATAAGACTCTAAACATTGTAATTATAAGTTGTATTTTTGTAGTGACTATCCACTTTTGTCTTGTACTTATTCCATAACTTTTGCACGCTACTCAAAAAAATCTGTAAAAAGATTTTATAACTTATTTTCATTTACTTTGTATGGTCGATGTAGGTGAGGTTCCCGGTATCGAAGTACAATCAGGCTTGCACAAGTCAATCCAATCATAAGCCAGGCAGAAAATCCAAAGTAATTTGTTAACATAATAAGGTCAGAGGGGATTATAAAAATGGATGCAATGGTGGTAGAAAATATCATGGCTGGTGCCGGAGTACAGGAATGGACATTAAGCATGGATATTAAAACAGGTAAATGTCCTGACTGACTTCCAGCATAGCTTAATCGACCTAGTGTAAACATGCTGCTGTTGAGGGCACCAAATATTGAGACAGCAACAGAGAGAGGAATGATCCAGGCAACAGAGGGGATCACTCGGTCAGCCCAAGTGACTGCCACAGCAACTGCAAGAAAGCAAAGCATTAGTGTAGTGTAGGTACCACGTTCTGAATTACTGACAGACACAACAGAAATGAAACTTAAAATACACGAAATATCCGTTATTTACCAGCAATACCTGTTTTTTGTTACAGCAGTCATATGGGACTAATCTAATCCTAAAGGTATTTAATTCAGGAGCTAAAAATTTCAGGCTGAGGATGACAGTAAGAAGGAGTGCTGCCTGCCAGAGCAAGCCAGGTAAACCTACTGGGGCCAATACCACGGTAAAGGACTGCCCAGCAGGAGCAGGCTGCATCTCACCGCCATGAATCACAAACATATGTGCATGGGCAAGGCCATGCAGGGAACGCATTAGTCCCTGGAGTGACCACAGTGGTGACATGATCTACTGTTATGAGCACAGGCACGTGCAGAGGTGGATCAGCAAGTGTGGTGTTAATGAGGTTTTGCTTTGGATGGAACTGGGAAATGTGAAAGATTATTTCTGAACAAGAGATATTCAATATTTCTTGGAAATTAGCTGTAGCCCATATTGTAGCGAGGACTAATGTTTAGAGGGTCTATAACCAACTGCCACGAGGAATATAGGGGTCTTGCAGTGATCTACGCAGCATAGTAAGTTATCAGAGCAGGAGAAAACAACCCCCCCAAAAATGTAGTGAACAAACAAGAACTGCGGCAATGCATAGCAATGTCTGAAACAAGAGGTGTAATTTTAAAGGCTATCTCCTCAGCTGACATAGACATGCACCAGCTTCCCTGGTATGTTTGGAGCTGCTCACGCCAGCTGGGCAGTTGTGATTCAAGGACTCTGGTACTCTGCTGCCTCTTTGATTGTAGGATGGATCTGCAAATGTATGCCTCTCTCCCAGGAGACAGCCCGATAATGGCTGTGCAATAATGCGAGGTTGCTGAGTGACAGCTACACCACTCCCACTTGTGTTATTGAGCTGCTTTCACAGAAAAAAAATGTAAAATGCATCCCTCCTGGAGGCAATGTCTGACAGCTCAGTCTCATTAGAGTGGTACTTAAAAGGTGCTGTTTGGACAGTCAAGGAGAAATACAACTCCTCTTGGACGTTTTAATGGATAGCTTATTGGTGCAGCATCTGAGAGAGGCTTTATATAAACTGGACTTCTGTATAAGTTCTTCTAAGGAATCACAATATTTATCATTAATAACCTCCCCACACACCCCCAAAATGGCTACATTGTGGTGCTGACAGTTTTTTCTGTTACTTATCATGGTAGACTTGTCCACCTCCTAAAAAGTAATGGCTTACACCTGAGACACCATGAGGTATGGAAGGAAGGAGGAGATGATTCTCTCTTCTCTTCCGGGGAGATCTTATAGCAGCCTTCCAATACCTGAAGGGGCCTACAAGAAAGCTGGGGAGGGACTTTTCATAAGGGCAATTAATGACAAAACAAGGGGAAATGGGTTTAAACTGAAAGAGGGGAGGTTTAGATTAGATATTAGGAAGAAGTTCTTCACTGTGAGGGTGGTCAGACACTGGCACAGGTTGCCCAAGGAAGTTGTGGATGCCCCCTCCCTGGAAGCGTTTAAGGCCAGGCTGGATGAGGCTTTGAGCAACCTGGTCTAGTGGAAGGTGTCCCTGATGATGGCAGGGGGGTTGGAACTAGATGATCTTTAAGGTCCCTTCCAATCCTAACCATTCTATGATTCTGTGATTCTATCAGAGACCTGATCTCTAACAGAGACCTGATCTTCACCTGATTTTCCAGGTTTTAATACACTTTTGATTTTTTTTTAAGACGTGCAGATATAAGCCAACATTTTCAACACCTAATAACATCTTTCCACATTAAGTTCAACTTGTGTCATACAGTAAAATTAAATAAGAATTCTCTCTTAAAACTTAGAATGAAACCCAAACTTCCTGACTGTGAAGTTTGATGAGCAGTAAATTGACATCAGATGGGTATGCTAATAAACCACACCTTTTTAATAAATAAAAATAAAATCCATACCTGAAGAGACAATTTCCTTAGGTGTGAGAACAGTCAGATATGAGATGTTCACCAGTAAATAAAAAACAATTACTGCAGGAACAGCAGTCATCACAGTTAAGGGGATATTTCTGCTTGGGTTTTTCATCTCTTCTGAAAAATACAATTTAAAAAGACTAATAAAGCAAGCAATGTATCTTCTGCAAGTGTGTTTCAGTAGTAAAACTGCGCAGAGCTTGACAAGACTGACATCAAAGTCCTGCCTCAATCCCTCACCATGGCTCCTAAGCTACATCACTTGTAAGGTCCTACAGTTGTTCTCAAATAGTTTATTAACAAAGAAGTCTAAACAAAATATTTTGCAGTTTTTCAAATATCTTTTTCCTTATTTAGCTATTTTTAACTATCTCAGAGGGAGAGAGGCCTGATAGAATGATTAAAATACTGACAATTAGGTTAGATAATTAGGAAGAAAGTCTTTACTGTGAAGGTGGTGAGAAACTGGCACAGGTTGCCCAAGGAAATTGTGGATGCCCCCTCCCTGGAAGTGTTCGAGGCCAGGTTGGATGAGGCTTTGAGCAACCTGGTCTAGTGGATGATGTCCCTGCCATGGCAGGGGGTTGGAACTAGATGGTCTTTAAGGTCCCTTCCAACCCAAACCATTCTATGATTCCATTATAACTTTTCGCTGGCTTAACAAATATTTGACTTACATCAGAAAACTGATTTGGTAAGAACTTTTCAAGTAGCCATACTTTTAAATCACAAGCTTGAACATCAGATTCTAAAGTCAGTTTATTTTTATTCTTACAGCACCTCATGAATCCTGATCTGAAACTTTCTGAGTATATTTTCCTATTCCAGTACAAAACCATTCTCTTTACTCTTACACCAAGAAATACAGAAAACATAAGAGGAAGAGACTGAGGGTATTGACAGAAGAGCAGTAATGCAGTGTTAGAAGGGGGACATTTCCAGATGGATTCTACAATTTATTATCTTTTCCAGGGCAAAACTGGTGGAGGAAAACTATTTAGTGCTAAGCCTGGCCTCTTAGCTTAAAGCTACTCTTTCTAAATAAGAAAAAAGTCCAAACTTTGCATCTGAACAGCTGAGGCACTGGCACACATTCCTGACCATGTGATAGTCACAGCAAAAGATGGAGCAGGTTTCCAGAACTCTAATAATTCATCCTCATGTCAGTTGAAAAGTGTCTTTTTCCTCTCTTTCACGCCTTCATTCCTCCCCTCTCGCTCCCTCTCCCCTTCCCACTTCCCTCAGCATTTACAAAACAGGGAATAACTCACAATAACTCACAAGGGGGAAGAATTGAAAAGTCAAATGTGCAGCTTACTTAAGCTCTTTTTAGGAGACAGAAATTCCTTTCTTCCCTCAAATATCATTTGTCTCCTGGCCAGAACATCAGCTTTGAGCCTGCCCGATCGCTGGTTGTAGTGCACAGAGCCAGAGGGACTGAATGAGCACAACAGTGAAATTCAGATACGGACTATCAAAGAATTTGGGATTTGTTTCAAATGTAAGAAATACACTTAGCAATTTTGAGCCCAGAAGGGAACAATCACTAAAACTGCTAATTTAAATTTATCTTTCCATTTGTTTTGTTGCTCGTTACAGTCCTTCCATCCAGCTGGCATCTGATGTTTTAGCTGAAGCTCATAGGAATAAAGTTATTGTTGAAGAACAGTAAATTCAGTTCAGAAGAGGACTATTGCATAGGTTGTATCTCTGTAAACAGCTGTGCTGCCCAGTGTATGGTATTTCTTACTACTGCTACCTGATCAGAAAATAAATTAATATTTTACCAATAATTTTGTATTTTCTCAGGCTTACAAAGCTAAATGCCTGCCTTTAAGGAAGTCCTAAGATTTCAAAATTATACTTTGCTGATTTATATCACCTTTTAATTGCAGCATACGTTAATGCTGGAATAGCTGGATCGTAATAATCAATCATTTTTTTTAAACATTAACCCAATTTTCACACTGTTCTCACCATTGAACTTTGTGTTATGCATTTCACACGTTCAGTTTATTTAACGTTTTACATGTGACAGAGGTCAATGGATAAATAGGGTTAAAGATACAAAAGCAACATCCATTTGCTTACAACTTAATCCTGTAAACCAGATGACACTATAAAACACTGTTCATTTAACTCATGACATGCATAACTGTCATTATGAACATTATCTCTGCAGCTTTCATGAAAAACTGCTCTTCTTATTACTGCCACATGCGTCATCAGATACAGAATAGGGTAGGTAAATGGATACTCAGAAAGGTTTTGAATGTTTAAAATTGAGCACAAGTTATATGAAAGGATTTATACCACTTTCCTTAGATTCTTGGTTACTTTCTGGGCTAAACTGTATTTTTCCAAGGAAGTGACTACTGACCATCCTAAACATCCCATAAAATGACTATATTTTAACACAGTTCAAAATTATTTTTTCCATGTACAAACCAGCTGCATAACCTCAGAAAAGGTACACATATTTAAATATAAATTAATTGGTTATCTCTTTTTATCTGGTCCTTACTATGCACATAGTTTGGCATGGCTATCTTAAACCTGTTCTAAAAATGCACTGACACTGACAAAGACAAAATGCAGCTTTTTCATGTACGAAAAAATCTGTTTATGCATGAAATTTTAAATGAACTATTCTGATTTCTCTTGTACCCTTTGGAAATGTCAGTCTGATCCTGGAGACTGTATAAAAAGCAAGAAATTTCCCTAGGAAGGAACAACATCTCTTCTACCAGCCCCAACAAACACAGGACCCGTGTGAAACGTGAGATACCCTATGGTCTTGAAGGAGAGACAACTTCTACTAAGATGAGTAGAGGAATGTAAGAAAGGCAACTGCAGAACAAAATCTGAAGAAAAGGAGTGAGATACCTGCCATATAATTGAGGGACCACCAACCACCATACGCATACAGTCCTTGGAAGAAGGCTTCAGCAATCTGTGACGCGCTGGGGATCTCTGAGCTGAACGCATTCTCAAACCTGGCCAGATTCTCCTTTCTCCCACCAACAAGGAGAACTATGCCACCGATGGCAATTACAGACAAGGCCATCATCTTCAGCAGAGTGAAAACTGTCTGCACCCAGGCAGCCATTTTGACACTGCGGCCATTCAAAATCCCCAGGGACCAGAGAACGGCCAAGGCCAAGCATTTCTTCAGCACTTCTGGTGCAGGGCAAATGCCATAGAAGGGCTGGGTGGCGTATTCAGCAAACAGCAAGGCTCGAGCAGCATTTGATGCTGGCTTGGTAAATGTTGATGTCCAGATAAAGACGAAGGCAGGGAGGGATCCAAGGCCTCTTTTAATATGGCTGTATTCTCCTCCCGAGAAGGGCAGAGCGGTTCCCAGCTCCGCATAGCAGAGGGCACCCATCAGAGAAACCAGTCCAGACGCAGTCCAGATCATTAGCGCGACACCGACATTGAGTAAGGAATGTTTTAACACCCCTGTGGGAGACACAAAGATCCCTGCCCCAACAATTGATCCTATAATAAAACTTACCCCATCAAAATAACCTATATTTCTTTTGAGTTGCATCTTGGCATTTTCTTTTCTTTTTGCATCTCTGGGATTATTGCTCTTTCCTTTTCCCATTTTTTTTTTTTCTGTTTTTCTCACAGCAGATTATATGGCTTCAGAGGCTGGGTTACATGTATTCCCCTCTCACTTTGTTGTTAGCAGACTGTCACAACCCTACTTCCTCATGAAATGTTATGGGAAGCCTGGCTTAATCATTCAGAAAGGAGAGCATACTTTGGGTTTTGATGTCTTGTGTGTGAAGATGATTAACCAAATACTTCAAGAAACGCTGGCAAATCATGTACATGTTGGTTTAATATGTACTTCAGAAATTATTAAGGTCAGGGGGTATTTTTAAAGAAAACAGCACAACAAATAATGCACAATGAATGCTCATTTCTCGCCTGATTTTCATCTACAGACTTCTTTTTTTTGTACATGTCTTCAGAGACGAGTCTGGGGGGTAGGTAAATGTGACCTTTGCATCAGACCTAGGGAAAAGGGAAGGGTATGGCAGCATGAAGAAAGAAATTAGCTCTCCTTATGTTACTGACAGTCACACGCGCAGTTGTTGAAGAGCCTGGTACTATTTTTACACCATCAATACATAAAACGTACAGTGATCACCAGCAAACACCAGTATGTTTTACCAGATCCCTGTCAGTCACTGAGTACAGTGGAGCTTTTTTATCCTTCAATCATTAAACACTGCCCTACAAAGAAAATTATTTTACTCCCTGTTTTTCTCAAGCAGTCATTGTTACAAGTAGTACCCAAGCGCTTCTTCGGCAGGTATTAATTTCTGGCCACTGCCGCAAGGGAAGGGGCTGTTTCATCGTTTCCCTTGTCCATATGGGGGCTGTGGAACAGAAAGATGAAGGCTGAAAGTTCCCACCAAAAAAAGGTTGTGTGCCTCTTAAGGTGCGGCCACTGATTTTCCTATTTATTTAACAATCATCTGTGGTATATTGTATGTTCAAAATATGGAAAAGGAGCTTCTCTTCAGATCATTGCCATAGACATTTGCCCCAATAAAAATGTAATTATTCTTTTTAAGAGATGTAGAGAAATGTGGGCAGAAAGTGGGAAACACTGAAAAAGAAGTTCAGCCTATACCTTAAGGGTTGTTAAGTGCCAAAACAGCAGCTGCAGGGTTCTTACTTTTTGCCAGTCAAGTTGCGGAACCAGTTTTGTCCTGAAGGTCAAAGCTCAGTAACACAGGGAATAAAACTCATGGCTTTTACAGGGCACATCTTGAAAGACACAGTGGTGCAGATCAGTCCTGAACAGCTGGATTTTAACTCAAAACCAAAATTAGTCTTAAAAATTAGGTTTATGTAATACATCATCATGTAAAAGACTTGTAGTTAAACTAGGCATGGGCACAGACTGTTTTGTTGGGGTTTTTTTAGTAACTTGGTTAAAGTGGGTGTCCATCACCACACAGAAGTTGTGCAGCACAGTCAGTGACAGAATCCACAGCTCCAGCACAACGTTTAACCATAAGACAATTCCTCCATCTTCTGCAAATCACTGCAGCACTCGCTATACACCTTCACTTCCAAAAAACATCAAGTCCTACAGACTACAAAAATTTTAGTTATATACAAAACGCACCTCTATTTATAAAATTTTCCATGCATTTTAAATTGCATTTACTCCCTTCAGAAACTGCAATAATGTATTTAAGTTAAAGTATGCATTTACCATTTATTATTAATAATTCGTAATATCCCAAAGTATTTATTCACCAGTATTCATTAACTGGAAATGAAGTGTGACAAATGTTTGAAATTACTAAAATATATAACTTGCTGTTTTATTTCAGTGCCTTTTCTGGGTCTCTTTCTCTGTGAATGCATAATTATCCAGCAATTTTCCAACTCTATTTTGGGTGTTCTGCCATGTACAGCTGGATTTGGATTATTATTTTAAAAACAAATAAATATTATACTAAATGGCAGATTAAAGTACAACTGATTCTGTTTTGCAGTTCATCCTAAAAGATGTTAATTTTTAGTATAATAGAGGCATTTCCAAAATCTCCGAAGCAGCAGATCAATCAGGATTTTTTACTCCTCACAAAGCTGCCTGATTTCAGCAAACCCTACTGAGATTATTCCTTTCTTGTGTGTGCTGCCTGCCTACCTCAGATAAATGTTTCCAGACTTTCAGTGAAATGCTTCGGAGATCTATGTAAAGTATGCCTTTCATTTTGGTGTGTTGTTGCCAGAGTATGAGGAGGTAAATATGAGCGGAGATAATGAAAACATTCCTACAAATCCAACAAAACCTGACATTCTGGAAACAGTACACTAACAGGAGCACTACTGGGGCAGAACTCAGTAGAACACAGACGGTTACACGACCACAGGTAGTTTTCAGTCAAACTTTTTCAGTAAGTAAGGGCAGATTCTTCCAAAGGGCATAATAAATATTCACTTCTCAGGTCTTCTGTAAGATGTCCACCTTGTCCCTCTGGCTGAGAGGATAAATTGCCACAGTCTATATGATTATCTCAAGGTCTCATATGTCAGTGTCTCCTGCCTCACACTCAACTCTATGTACTCAATGCCTGGTCACATTCACTTTGATGACATTATCCGGAAACTCAGCTGCTGAATACAGGGCAAAGATAAATGATTAAAACAACCTAGACACGTTTGTAAGACAAGCCTAAGATTCCCCTGATACGGGGAGTAGACTGGAAGGTTATATCATCATCAAAATAAAATGCCAAAGTACTGCAATTTTTATAGTCAACAGGGAATGACAACATTTCTTTTGAGTGCCAGCTACCGGGTTCTCTTTGACAGTAAAACGAGGTCAAGAGAGTGCTATATCACAGCTACAGCTGTAAGCTGAAACTTCAGCTGATCAGTTCTACTTCTCCTAGCATTTAGGATTTTCCCTCTTAATTTTCTTTCACAATTCTTTTAGCCTTCAATTACAAGTTTTTCATTGCCAACTATCTAATGCTTATCATGACTGATACCTTCAGTCAATGTAGTTTCTCCAGAGAGAAACCAACACAGTAAAGTAATGGAAGAATATTTTTGTTGCCTAAAATGGATATATATTATCTTCTAATTGAAATTAAATTAATTGAAATGCACTTGGATAAGGTGTCTCGATTTCAATCTTGTCAAGAATTTTGTGTGCATACTCACTAGGTCTTTCTTGAGATTCACTCACTGATTAGAAGGACGAGAAAGAAGCCCATCTGTCTAAACAACACCAGATTTTAAAATACTTATTTAGTTCCTTTTCAATTAACTACACTTCAAGCATGGTTTCGACTTATCTCTGCCTCGTCACAAATCCTTTAAGGGGAGAAGATGTAGCAAAAATTAGAGCATAATTTGCCTTGCAAAGTTTCAATAAATAGTCTTCTGTGTTGCCTCCGAAGAAGCTTGCTGCTGCTGCTGACATTCAGATAAAGAAGCAGAGGAACAAAGGAAAAACCTGAAGAGACCTTCTAGGGAAAAAACAGACGTAGTTAATCTTCCTCGGCTTACGTTGAGGGACATACTGTATTTAATGTGACTGACAGATTTTATTTATAATCCTCCTCTATTTTTCTTCTTCAACTCACCTTTTGTGGGGAACATGACATTTTAAAGTAGTTTTCTTTGTCTTACCTTCTGAAATGAGCTCAACAGCTATTAAAGGATTTCCGTAAGTCCCATTAGACAGAAGCCAGTTTACCCCTTGCCACACAGGACCCCACAATGTATTCACAAATTTTTACTTAGAAAATGAGTCTGCACATACAGGCACATGACAGATGACACGCTGACTGCATTTGCATCCTATACAGCTGTCCGTACTAGCTGTAGAGTTTACTTCTCTTAAGTATTTCTCTTTGATAAAATATGAATGTGTGTTTGTGTGAGCTGCTGTATACATTCTCTGGTGGGCTGGAATGTGTAAAGACAAGTATTATGGATTTTTTTTCAGAAACAGATGTTAACAATCAGTTGCTGGTGAGCATAGCCAGAGATAGCACTCACCTGTGTAAATGTAAACATTTAGAAACTAGGTGTCTACTTTGTTAGGCTTCCCTCATAGTAAATACAGGGTCGAGACTCATCCAATCCCAGCAATGGCTGTATAAACTGCCCACTGGTAATTATTCCCCTTCTCCTGTTAGATTAAATTTAACCCACGCCACACCCTGTGGGGACAGGCCTGTGTTTTCTACACCAAATGCTCACGGTTGCATTGTAAGCTTATATAGTGACACTACAGTGCCCTCAAGAATAAAACAAATTATGAGGAAAATTAGTGACATACTGTAAAAAGCTGTGATAATAGCACTTACATTGAATAAGCAAGTACAGCACCTAGTCCAAGTAGGCAGTCTACGAGGACATTCAGTCCAGCCTTACTGAAGTTTTTTTAACCAAAATTCACCCTTAACTACATTTCTCTTTGAAATCCTAGTTGTACTTTAACAGCCAGTGCCTTGTCACTGCCTCTGGTCACCCAGAGGTTCCCTGTTGTGCAAACGGGCCTCGATGAGCAAGATGCCCTAGTTGTGGCCAGCAGAAACTCCCCAGCAGCTCCACAGAGCCCTGGGATGTTCTGTCTCTCCAGGACTCGGGGGAAGGATCACACCATGCACAAATACCAGGGAGGGAGCCCCAGATTTCAGCACACTGGCCGTCAACAACCAGGCCCATGAGGCAAGGCCCACTGAAGGGCTTCAGTCCTTTAGAAAAC